ATAAATTATTAAATTATTATTTAAAATTTATATTTTAAAAGTTAAAAAGTGAAACTAAATTTATAAAAAGCGACCAGGCAAGTAATATGAACTGGGATGCTGTAACATGATGGCTCTCTCCCGATGTAAATGCTTTAAGAAAGAAACGTAGAAAAATAGCAAATTCAAACAGAGGTAGAATGTTACCACGCGTAGCTCGTATGCGTCCGGAAAGCTTTCTTAATCTCAGCTTCAATCTTTCATCAATAATTTCTTTTAATAACTGCTTTCCTTCATCAAGAATTTCTTCTAATCTAACAGTTATATACTTCACCTTGGAAATCATCCTTTTTTCTTGATAATAATGCATAGACCTTGAAATCTTGTTAAACAAATTAAGGATGAGTTTCCATGGGCCGTTGGCACTTGATTGGACTTCTGCAGTTAGCATGAATATCTTGGCATCCATTATCTCATCAATTATATGATTAGTATCATAAAGCACTTTCTCCATTTCGGCAAGCCATAACTTCCCCATGATTCCGTGGCAATAATTCTTACCATATTTATCTCTATATCTCTTTTGATCCAGCAGACTGCCCAAGGTAGTCAGCCCTTTAGGAATCCGCAGACTGCCCAAGGTAGTCAGCTCTTTAGGAATTTGACTTGATGAATTCCACAATTCACGTAAGTAATCTCGGACCCTTTCGTGCAAGAACTCCAACATAAACAAGGGTTCTCCTGCAAAAAAATAAATAAATAATAAATAAAATAAAATAAAATAAAATAATAATAATAATAAAGTAAAAGAGGAGTGTAACTGATCGATCATTTTACTCGTGATTTGGCGTGTGGCAGCAGCACCTTAGAATGTATTATCATTTCTACTTTACAACTGGAACACGTGGCGCTCTCTCAAAATTAACGTAATACTTGTGGGGGTAGATAAATGGCCTTCATTGAAAACCCTTTTTTAAAAAAAACAAAGTTTTTGAATGATTACGATTTAGAGATAAGAATAAGGGATATTTATATAATACTATTATAGTTTATATATATTTTAGTACTAATTAAAGTATAAATTGCACCAACAGACCAATATATAAATGCCTGATGCGGTCTTCATTGAATTGGAGTATTATACTTCCTCCAGAATTTAGAGCCGTCATTGCACGTAGTTGTGGGTATTTTTTTATATTATATAAGTAGTAATTATATTTTTTTATATAAAGTGAAATTAAATAAAAAAATTCAAATTATATTATTATAAAAAAAATGTCCTAAAAATAGGTTAACTGAAAATTAAATTAAATTTGAGGTTGTACTAAGCAGATCATAATTAAGATTTATAAAAAAAAATAATTAAACTAATTGAGGAGGTTTGTGTTAAACCAACAGACTAGTCAGGAGTTTACCTTCGCTATAGCTTTTCTTTTCAACGAATCAAAGATGAAAGTGATCGAGTGATGTTGCAATTAAACAACGTAGAAAAAAAACATACAAGAGTACATTTAGTCGGTGGAAAATAACTACATGTTAGGATATTTTTTTTTATGAAAATTTATTTTTTTAAAAGACATTATTCTCTTTATTTGAAATATTCTATAAATTTTTTAATGTAAAATAATTTTTACTGTTTGGTTAGCAAAACGATGTTAAAATTTGCCAAAATTGAGTGGCAAAGGAAATTGCATTGTTTATATAGAGTATGAGATAAGAAATAATTATTGTGACTTATATATGATATTTATAATTACAATAAAAGTAAATTTCTCCATTTTCCTACAAAACGAAAAATAAGGACCAATTCCTTAAATACACAACCAACAAGAGAAGAGAGACAGAACTCACCCTAAAGGAAAAAAGGAAAAAAAAAGAAGAAGAAGTAAGGACTTATTATTTAACATTTAATGTCATTATAGGTTAACCTTCTATTAAAAACAGATTTAAGTAATAAGTTATTTATCTCCATTGATAATTTAAAAAATAATTTATTTTTGTTTTTTTAGGAAGGATCTGTCTCAGCTTATTTTTTGTGGTGTGTACTCGGGGGGGTGGTGTTATTGCCACAGCCACTAATGTTAATGCCACAGCTTTTTTTAGTTATTTGACCATTAACCCACGCGGAGAAGGTGGTGACTGCTGCAAGTTGGATTCAAATGAGGGGCATAATAGTCAAATAACTAAAAAAAGCTGTGGCATTAACATTAGTGGCTGTGGCAATAACACCACCCTACTCGGGGTTCAGCCAAAAATAATATACTAATTAATTATTATCCAATAATTATTGCTTAGGGGGATGATAAATAAACTATGAATTAAATAAAACCTATTTCAGGATTATCCAGGGGAAGGTCGCCAATTTCTTGAAGCTCAGCATCCCAAGCATCCCCTGAATCACTTTCCATGTTAGGCTGTTCCATAACCGCGCTATCACCTGAATCACTTTCCACACTTTCCATGTTAGGCTGTTCCATAACCGCGCTATCCCCTGAATCACTTTCCATGTTAGGCTGTTCCATAACCGCGCTGGTAGGGAAGATGATAAATAAACTATGAATTAAATAAAACCTGCTTGCGGTTCTTCCTGAGGATGGACGACAATTTCATGAAGCTCGTCATCCAGTTTCTGCACATTGGAGAACGCATACCAAGCATCCCTTGAATCACTATCCATGTTAGGCTGTTTCAACATACATAAAACAAATTAAAAAACTTCAAATTAAAAAATAAATAAAATGAAAAAACTTCAACATGTCGCTCCATAGTCGCCCTGTATGCTCCAGGATATTGTTGTCAAGACTCAATTTTCATTAAGTATTTTATTGAAAATCTTTTCTAATGCTTTAATTAAAATTAATTTTTTTATAATTTTTATTTTAAAGATTCAATGATAAAATTAAAAATTAATCATGTAAGAGAAATAACATAAATTGGACTTGGTTGCAAAGAACTAAGACTTTGAAAGTGTGAGTTACAGAACCAGATTAATGAAATAAGACGTTAGGGGAACTAAGTTGATGCATGCACGGAAGATGAGGTTCAAAGGAAAGAATCTGCGAAACGACGTCGTTTTTATAGTGAGAAACCAAGGCTCACTAGCAATCTTTTGCTCTGCCGCACCTGCTCTGCCAAAATTTCCTCTTCATCAACTTGAGTTCGATTAAAAGACGAATTTAGTGAAGAGATTTTTGGATCTAGGGCCAACCAATTGAAGGAATCAGAGGAGATCCGCAAAGAAAGAAGTCCAAAATCGATTTGGAGTTAGAAGCCCTACTCCACAGAGGTATGAACTTGGCCTTTAAAGTGGAAGGATGCAGAGACTCAATTGTATTTTAGGTTTCTTATTCTATTTGAATTGGGTTTTATCTGTATTTTGTGATTGAAGATTATGGTTTGAGATTGGCGTGAAGGGTTTGGGTTTCTATTTCCTTTTTTTTAATAAAAGAGGGCTCCGGCAAAAAGAGAATGGAGAAAGGAATGAAAAATTCAGAAAAATATTGAGGGAAATATTTAGGAAAATTGATAGAGAAAGAGAGAGCAGAAGATGAATGAAGAAATCGAGTTGCACCTCACCAAAATAGGGAACTCCATCAATGAAGAAAAAGGGGTTTTCAGCTTACCAAAAGATGGAACTCTGGGTGTCTCTTCTTGTGCTGCGAGTCTCTTCTCTACCCTTTTCTTCGTAAAACAAAAACTGCAACAAAAACAACTGCAGTCTTGGGGAACAATTATTAGTAAAATTCTAACTTGGGATGGCAATGGTTCGCATGGGGAGGTGGGTATAGGGATGCTATGGGGATTTTTGGTGGGGTTAAAGATAGCCTCTGTTTCCATATTCGTCAGGAATAATAGTTCTGTGGGTATTTATATTTCTTACCAATTATTAAATATATAGAATTTAATTAATTTTTTTTATAAATAAAAAAATAAAAATTTAAAATAACTCAAATAAATAAATATATTAACATATAATGAATTGCAACAAATGTACATTGCCATGCATGTTTAATAAATCTAGTAGCAAACTCCCCAAACGACCTGATAGTCTTGCGTCTCATCGTGGTAGGTGGATTGTTCATCAGATCTGAATATCGAATCTCCAATTGCAAACATTTAACAATATTAATTTATTAATTATTATTTTTATCAAAAAAAAAATCGAGTAGCAAGTTTACATAGAAAAGCATGAATTATCATTTATGTTCAAGCTGGGTTGAATTGAATTATTAAATTGGGTTTGAGAAGAGTAGAACTGAAAATGAAATTAGGCTCAGCCATTTAGGTTAAGTTGAGTAACTTAATTAAGTAAAGTAAGTAAAAATTAATTGTTAATATATTTATAAAATTATATATATAGATTTATAAATTTTTTTATTATTTATGGACTTTCAAGAATCTCCACAGAATGAAAGGAATTCCCCCATAAATTTTTGTAAGGAAAAAAATACCTTTGCTCCATAAAAAAAATTTTTTTTTTGAAATCTCCATTTTAAGGCGAGGTCAAAGGAAATTACTATCCCTATTCTAACCCTAGTGGACGTATCTCCTTGACGGGGGTGTTTGGGCAAGTAAAATTTTTCTTCATAAATTTAAAACTTTATTAAAAAGAATTTAAAAGTTAATTTTTAAAGTAAGTTGTGTAATTTTTTAAAAAGTTATTTTAAGTTTAATTTTTTAAATTTTTTAACAAATATTAAAAGTTGTGAGAAAAGTATTTAATTTTTTATTGTAAATGTTTTTAAAGTTTTATCACGCACCTTCACAATATTAATAACTTAGGTATTGAATAAGATCCTAAACTCTCATGAAATCCTTAATTGAGGTTTAAAAGGATCATTATGCTTAAATAAGGTCATTAAGTAAAAAAATGTGTAAATAAAAATATGAAAACTTTATTTTTTTAA